TTCTGTGTGGCCCTTCTGTGAAGGACTGTCCAATTATCTTACAGGTGGGTTTTGGGTCTCCACTTTGTCTATGCTCCTTCATGTCAATTTTTAAAGCCTCATCTGTCTACTTTGGAGAGGTTGGTTGGGTAGAAATCCTGACTTTGTAGTTAGCAGCCCAATACATCCCATTACATCATCCATTCCCCACCAGCTCTCTTTTCTTTAGTCAAAGAGCTTCTTTACTTACAGAAAATACATTTCTGGGTTCTGCTCTTACAAGAAAGGGAAAGGAGGACTGTGATAGCATGTATATAAAGTTTCGAAGAGCTTTAGGTTCATTAACCTGGAGGGAGCGGTCAGTACAGTTGGTTCTCATTACAATGGGGGGACGGGGACACGGAGAGGTGCTTTGGATTTCGCAAGGTCACATAGCTGTAAGTGGCAGGGTCGAGAGAGAACTTTTGGTTCCCTTGGAGTAAGACCCCATCATTCCGTTTCAGTGTTCTTCCTGAACTGACTTCAGCTTCACTGACCCTGCAGTTTCCTGTTTGTCCAAAGGTCACCCGTGGTCTTCTGAACCTCTTCCTTCCTTTAAACCTTGCTTTATTCTTCTATATCAGCTCTAGCAATTTGCCACAAACTGGTGGCTTAAAACCACACACATTATTTTCTCTCTCCCACAGTTCTGGAGGCCAAAAGTCTGAAGCCACAACATTGGTGGAGTTGTGGTCTCTGAAGGATATAAGCAAGGATCCTGACTCTTCAATCTTTGTAACTCCCGCCAAATGACGGGTGGACATGGAAGTCAGATGAATGATACTCCAACGAGGAGACTGGGTATAAAGAGAGCCATTTTCACAAGCATGGATGCAGAATCTCATGGCCAGCAAGCAGAGCCCCGAGCAGAGCACTCCTGCCATTCCTTGTGGAGGAGAGGTGGTGACAGCAGAGGAACAGCAAGGGGACTGCGAGACACTGATGGGTTTGCAAGTCCTCCTTCATCAAGCTCAGAGCCTTCGGGCAAGAGCCTGGCTTGTAGAGTCAGGTTTTCACAGGACATTTGTCAATTGTATGGTATGTGAATGATATGCAAATAAAATGGTTGGAAAATAAAATAAAGGAGCTTTGTAACAGTTGTCTGAACAGGGGACAGGCCAAGTGGCTGTGTGGCTAGGAGGCTGAGGATTAAAGAGCAGGCCCTGAACTCTCTCCTTAACATTTCTGAAACTGACTTGTAAGCTTGTGATCTTCTCTACCAGTCCCAATAATCATGAGTGAAATCTGGAAATTCCATGTGGTCATTGCAATGGATTAAGAAGCCCAGCAGAGAAGGAGAGTGCCGTGGGAAGGATGGCTGAGGCTCGAGGAGAAAATAGAAGGCAGTTGCGTGGAGGCATATCCAACATCAGCCACATTGGAATCATTCTTGGGAAGACATGGAATTGGATTCTCCTCGGCCCTTGTGTAGTCACAGGAGGTCAGATACAGCCATGGTGGCAGTTATATTTTATGTCAACTTGACATTGTCTGAACTTGTAGGGGTAGAGGCCAATCTGCCAATCAGGGCACTGTGGGCGTGGCCTTTTTAGAAGGCAGAAACTAGGAACTTCTTCCCTCTCTCTCTTGCCCTTTTCCTTCATCCTTGCCAGAATTCTGATGCCTCATGTGGGCTGACCCACCCTGTGAGCTGTAAGTGCCCTGCCATGTGTCTATGGTCCTTGGTCTTGGATCCACATGACTCTGCACCCACTGGCCTGGGATCTCCCTGCATCTCACTTCATCTCTTGGCATCATCCATCTGTGGCTCCAGGAGTCTGAAAAGGGCCCCCACTGGCATCAGACACATTGACTTTAGTTTTATTGGGCTGGGATACTCTTTGATATAAAATTGCTTCTTGATATAAAGTTCTCACGTGTGCATAGATGAGTATCACTGGCCTGTTTCTCTAGGCAGCCAAGCCTCACACAGGCACCACGGCCTTTTCCACCTCTTCCAGTTTCTGGTGTACTCTCTGGTTTGTGGCCTTAAAACTCTAATCTCTGCCTTGTGGTCACTGTGCTTCTTCCTCTTCTCTCTGTCATTTATGAAAACATCTGTCATTATTTCACCTGGGTAATCCGAGAATATCTCATCTCAAAGAGATAATTTAATCTGTCAGGATCCCCCCCCCCTCAGATTTTGCTGTAGATTGGGTGAATGTTTACAGAATGAACCACCTTTTCAATCAACAAATTATGCACATTTTATTTTGTGATGTTGGCTGCAATTCCTTCAGTAGAACAAGACTTCTTCCTTCCTGGATTTTTCATTTCCATTTGGACTACTTTTCAGACCTTTCCTGCTTCTGTGTCTTGGTTTTATGACAAAGGCTGCCTTTTTGCCTCTTGATTGGTTGATTCTTCTGAGGAGTATGAACCTGAAAGCTGATCCCTGGGGATGGGTTCCTTTGCAGGTTGGAAGGGTGCCTAAGGGATATAATCCTGGAGGTTTCTTGTGACTCTTCCAGACCAGTCAGTCTGATTTCTCCATAGTTCGGCATTTTCTCCCACTCTGTGTAAAGCAAACTTTCCCTGAGATGTCTTGGTCATTGGCAGGCTAGTAAGAATGGTTTCCTGGGGCAGAAGTACACCAAAACCCTCATTGATGGGCTCTGTCTTTGTGTCAATAAGGGACTGGGTTTTCCAAAGTTTCTTCTCTGCTACCCTCTGTGCATTGTGTAGCTATGAAGATAACCAAACTTTTAAAAGGACCACTGCAACTCTGTGTTCCATACTTCAATGCAATTACCATGGCAATTACAGCAGCATCTCTCTCCCCAGTAGACAAATGACACTCATCAAGAGTGTTTTCAGCTCTTAAATGCAAAGCCAGCATTTCTCTCCACTACACCAGCTCCCTCCCCCTTACCTCTGTCCTCTCAGGAAGGGAAATTGCGTTTTCTGGCCAGGGAGTGAATCTACTCATCTCAGAGCTGCTTTAATTGCCCTTGCCATCAACCGAAGACATAAAAGAATTTTAACTAAGTATTAACAAAATTGAATTTGACCACAACATTTAAATATAGTCAGCACCGCCATTTTAAAAATTAACTGCTATCACTAAAATAAATACAGGGGTTTTGAAGACATGGCTGAGTAGCCTAACACAAGCCATAATCTATTGTCCAGGTTTAAACACAGATATTGCCCAAGATTGGTTAGAGCTACAACATTTTCTGGGATCAGGATCAGGGTTTGGAAGACAGGTTTCTTTCATCAAACTGACCTTTGTCTTTTGGAATTTCTATTGAGTTGCTTTTGGAAACCTGGAGGATGGGAAAAGATATTAGACAATGGATAGGAGAGTTGAATAGTTATTTAATTAAAGATTCTCTCTGTCTCTCTCTTTCTCTCTTGGAACTGGGGGAATAAACTTTAAACACTCCTAGTTTTTTATGAGTGGTGACCAGAAGTGGTAGGGAAGGAGAAGGATGGGCCACTGCTGAAGGGAGATGAAGTACCAATTACTGGTGATCAAAGACATTGAGAAAAGAATAAGGGGATGATTACAGAATTTGAGGAATCCACAAAGTGTTACTTGTGAACTATTTGAGGAATCCAAAATTTTACTTGTGAAAACAGTTGAATTGTAAAATGTTTATAATTTTAAATTAAAAATTTAAATTAAATTTAAATTAAAATAAAAATACGTTCATAATTTTAAAATCAGGATTTAAAAATCAGGTGGTGTAGTGATTATGAGTTCAGCTGTGATCCCGAAGGGTCTACAGTTCAAAACTACCAGCTGCTCCACAGGAGAAAAACAGGGCTTTTACTCCCATAAAGAGTGACAGTCTCAGAAACTCACAGAGGTAGTTCTACCCTGTCCCACAGTATTGCTATCAGGCAGCATTGACTCAACGTCAGTGCCAATGACAATGAGAGAATTAAAAATACATGCCCAACGTTTACATATAAACACATGTGTATGTATCCAAGCATATAACATGCATTTGTGTATGCATATATGCTATCTGGGGAAGCCCACATGAGTAGTTGCTGTTTGTGTCGTTGAACAAATGTATATGCAATGAAGAAGTCATTGATCTCGCAAAATTATATCATGTAATCTCACATTGCTTCTCTCCCCAAAGGCATCTTTTCCAACTATTCCTTTCTCTTTGTCTCCAACTTTTGAATTTCAATCTCCAGTAATTATCACTACATCTTGATTGAATATTTGATCCATTTCAAATCAAAGAAGTCAGTGGAATTCTTCAGTTCCAGAACATTTATTGTTTACAAGTAGAACCTGTCCATGGATCAAGAGGCACGTGTACAAACAGAACAAGGTAATGTTGCGTGGTTTAAAATCAGGAAATGTGTATCAGGGTTGTATATTATCATCATATTCATTCAATCTATATTGAAAAAATAATCAGAAAAGTTAGATTACATGAAGAAGAATGAAACATTAAGTTTAGGCGGAGGCTTATTAACAGGCTATAATATGCAAATGGCACAACCTGGCTTACTGAAAATGAAGACAACCTGAAGCACTTGCTGATGAAGATCAAGAATTGCAGCTTTTAGTATGGATTACCACTCAATTTAATAAAAACCACACAACTGGACCAATACTTAACATCAGGGTGATCAGAGAAATGATTGAAGTTATCAAAGATTTCATCTTGCTAGACCCACAATCAATGCTCATGGAAGAAGCAGTCAAGAGATCAAATGACCCATTGCCTTGGGTAAATCTACTGCATGAGACCTCTTTAAGTATTGGAAAGCATGGATGTTACTTTGTGTGCCTTACCCAAGCCATAGTATTTTCTATTGCCTCATAGGCATGTGAAAGCTGGATAGTGAATAAGGAAAACTGAAGAAGAACCGACGCATTTGGATGATGGTACTAGCAAATAATATTGAAACAAACAAATCTAGCATGGAAAAAGCACAGCTAGAATGCTGGGAAGCAAGGAAGGCAAGACTTCATGTGATGTACTTTGGACAAGTTGTCCTGAGAGACCAATCCCCAGAGAAGGACATCATATTGATAAAGTAGCAGGACCATGAAAAAGCGGAAGGAGTGTGGCAAGAAAGATTGACCTAGTGGCTGCAATAAGGGTCTCAAACACTAGAACAGGAGAGGGTGGTGTTTCATTCCATTATACATAGGGTCACGTGAGGTGGAAAAGAATTGATGGCACTTAACAACCCACCACTTGTGGACTAGTTTGTCTTACTGTGGTGACTGTGTGCTCCTCTGATGCTAGAAGCTATATGAGATAGTTAAGGTTTATTGTGCCAATCTAGCTGATAAACACACGTGGGATTAACTGAAGGGAGGAGGGATAAATGTCTCATTGCCTTTCTGGTTCTCGGGTTTCTTGCGCTCTGATGGTTGGATCAGCGTGCAGATGCCTTAACCAGTTCCCGGCTTCAACTGGCAAGGATTCATTCTGCAAGACATCCCTGAGGAGAAACCACATGGACCTACCCTGATGCAGCCCTGGGTGCTGCAGTAGCCATGTGGAGACCCCTGCCAGTGCTGAGATGCTTACATGTTCACTGATTCAGCTTTCCTCCTTCAGTTGGCATCATTGTCTGTGTTTTGTGAGATTGAGGTGGACTTTGTAGATCATGACAGACATATGGGCTAATGTTGGACTTATGGGCTTGGACAGCTTTCTGAATATAAATTTACCCTTTATATAAAACTCTCTCATACACTATGTCAATAATATTTCATATGCCAGTAGGGTCACCCAAAGTGAACAGTTTCCAGTGGATCTTTCAAACTA